GTGCGCGCGGGAGTGCAGCACGCGACCCCTCCGAAATTTCGAGTGTCGTATTGCGCTATAGGGCATCGCGCTGGCCCTTTTTCGCCCTTTCGCACGCGAAAGGGCGAGCAAGCGTGTTTGCGCCACGACTTTACGCCACCGCGCCAAGATTGAGCGGGTGTACAGCGGCGAATTTGGCAGTGGATTGCTGTAATCGAGATGACACCGTACGAATTTATGGCGCGATTAGGAGGATGCAGTTGTAATTGATCTAATAATGTCGCTGCGAAGATCCTGGATTTGTCACTATCTACTATCTTCACGTACCACTACATTAGTAATACCAAAACGTTACGATTCACCCGAGTGGATTAATTGTCACTGGCGAGTGGCCGAGAGGCTGGTTAATTTGCAAAATAACGATTCCTCATTACATCTTTACGTTGCGTATCTAATTTTTAGTTTATTGAGAAACTTGATCCAGAGATATGTGAAAAATCTATGAATGCAAGACTTGTTTTATGTAATTATCACATGTAAACAAACATTCTAATCGTATCAAGAACATGAAGCGAAAGTTTAGAGGATATACAAAGTAAAGGATCTAATAATCTCATTCTCTTATAAAGCGATGCATTATACATACAGCAGTTCCCTACTTTTTTTGGACTCTCTTTCTCTTATTTTCGCCTTTGAGCGCGGAGAAACTTAACTTTGAAGTCTCTATTAAAAAATGAATAAAGTAAAGATGTTACGCGTTACACGGGTTGTAGCGTATTCTCCACGGTGCGCGACGCCTTCGTTTTCGAACGTCTCGTGTGACACCCAAGAAAATTAAACAACAAAGTTTACACGTGTGCAAGCCAAATTTATTTACGTCACCCCCCCTGAGATATCTATCGCTTGAATTATGAAAATGAATTATGCGCTAAAAAGCATCGAAGAATATGGACGCGCGACGCTCACGGTAAACAGCAATATCATCGCAGGTAGCGTGTACAGTGAATGGCAAAAAATGATAATGCGAAGTCTAAGAAGAAAATTGCCATGTCAACCTATAGCTTTTCCTAGAACGTTGCGCGCTTTAGCGTTTCCCATTTTAGAAGTATCGCAAAAGATCCTACTACGAGCGTCAAGCTTTTTGCGTCAGATAATCGCGAAAATTTATGTCATTTTAATACTAAATTCCATTTTTAGTTTGACTATACTCTTTTTACAAAGCTCTTAGTTTTTATTCCCCGTAATTTTTTTCAATTTTTCGAAATTCTTTGCGTTTACATCTCGGATTGACCTATTTATGCTAATAATTTCAAAGCAGAGAAAAAAACATAAAATTACTTGTAATGAGAGTATTATTCCTTCCCTCCTCTTTTAATAAATAAAAAAAATATTTCGCTCTCCGGTTCATTCATGTTGCACAAAGTTTTGCAACATAATCGTAGCGAGTGTAATCCAACGCTCGCTTATCTAAGCATTTCTCCAACAGATATATCTCACATTCAATAATCTTTTACGCAATAATGCAACAAAAATAAAGAATAAAAGAACTAAGCAATCAAGCGTGAAAAAAAGCGCGATGTAAGGTGGGATCCGATAATTTTCTTAGGCGCAACCTTAGGTGTTGGCTATACAAAAGATTCCAAACAGGCCCAGGCTTAGGAACGGGGAGACGCGAAGGGATGATAATGCGAGTCTGCAGGCGGGAGGTCTCCTGCGAGAGAGGATGGGGTGTGTCACTCAGGAGCACGACGTGTAAGAGAATGGTCACCGTACCGGGGGGTGAATTGAGATCTACAGGCAATTTATGCAGCGAGCGGCACTCTCGTCCGGAAGTCTCGGCGAGCGCGCTGTTGACCATAAACCGCTTGCAAAACATCGCCGAGCTTTTTTCTCGGGCGGGGAAAAAAAAAAGTTCGAGCGCGTAACGGCCGAATTTTCCGCATGCGTACGACGCCGATACTTCCGTACAGTCAGCACATTGTTTTGTCAATTTATGACTTCATCGAAATGTTTGCTACATTACGCGCGATCGCGGCTCGCGCACGCGATAATACGCAAAATGCAATTATACATTAAATGATATATGAAAGTAGATATTAACTGCGGTGATTAATTCGGCGAGCGCAGCTCGATGGAGTTTTCGAACACGATTTTGTAAACAATAACATTTTGCAAATGTAAGTTATCATGAATTTTTCATCGCGTTAATCAGAAACAAAATGGTTATAATGAAAAAAAAAAAACGTTGTATAATGCAGAAAAGTGTCAAATATTAATGCGGCCCGGCTGTGATATAATGGCAGAAATAATTCACGTTGCGAAGAGTGAAAAAAGAAGGTAGCTTATATTTAAATTAAATTCATTTCATGAAATTCTCGTCGTTCTCTAGCGAGAGTAAGCTAACAGCAGTACTTATACATTAATGTATTAATTAAAATTTATTTGCCTGAAAGAGACATTATTTATAAAGTTCCGGAAAGACCATCCACGTGTATCGTGTGTCTTCTTGACTCGCAACTGTGATGGAGAAAATGACGGGAGACAAGCTTCGACGGCAGGGGGTTGGAAAACAGAGGATGGCTTTCGTCCGAGATGAATTAAGGATCTACCCCTAAAGATCTACCACTGCTTTTCTTTTCGTCCGCCATCTCGCGCGCCAGCGGCTCGGCTCCGCTCCGCTCCGTCCCTTCTCTTCTCTACGGCCATCAACCCTTATCGTGGTAGCGTCAATCACTCTCTCCATACACGGGTGAAACTTATCGTTCGATTAATCGGCCTGACAATGCGCCTGTCGATTCGAGTTACCCCCGAATTCGCGAGCGGGTGGGCGAGTGCGAGCGCGCGCGCGTGCGGTCAGTCCCCGAAAATGCAGCGCTCGTCCGACGACGATTTACGGGCGGAAAAGTTTTACGGCTCCCAATTATACGGAGAATCCTCTCTCGTGAAATTGTTAGCGAGTGAAAACGTAAACTATTAGAACACTATTTCGACGTAGTGTCTTAACAGCGTTAAAACACGGAGTGTTAAAAAGAGCTTTCGCTGCTGAGTGCGAAATGCGTTAGTAACGCGATTGGGGGAAAAATTAAATACGTAAATAAACGCAGAGAGATAATTCACGTAATTTAATATTATATTTTAACATGTGAGTGTAATTTCCGCGTGTTGCTTTCTCGCGCTGTCAGATAAGCGTGATACGTACGATTGTTTGTAAAAATTGCCGATGCACATCTCCAAAAGCAACGATTTATCATGTGCATGCGTTTATTTACAGTATATAATAAAATATGGAGCGAAATTTTATCCGAAAATGCATCTATAAAAATATGGTGCGCTATTCGTGTGCATAGAGAAAAGTATAAAATGGCTGCGAAAGTTGCGATCAAAAGTGGCAACGAATGTCATACGTTCAACTTGTCATATAAATCTACACGCAAGTAGAACAAGTGTTGTCGGGACTCGGCGCTTGTTTGTAGCTCGCAGTTTTGAACGTGTAGGCAGCTGTAAGTTCGGCGCCAAAATGTCTGGACCATAACATTTCGCTAGCCATTGTATGAGCCACATCGACGCTCGTACTATTCGAAAAGCACATATCGCACGGGATTCGAATTTCCAAAAATCTCCGTGTACGCGAAATTTTTCGAGTCGCGTGTCGTTCGCGGAATTTTCAGTTGTCATCGATCCAAATGAATTATCGTAAATCATAAACTTCGAAATTCAAATAAAACTTTCCCGGACGCGGAATAACACTTCGTTTAACAGGAAAGGTCGAAAATCGCGGGAGTAAATTTTTGGAACTCTTCCGCAGGAGGATGCGAAAAACAAAGAAAAAGAGGAGAAACAATTAGATTTGGAAAAAGACTTTAATTTCTGGAATTTCCGGGAAGCTCGAAAATCGTGAAAGTAAATTTTTACTCCGCGGAGAGATAAAGAAAATAGAGAAGGAAAACAATTAGATTCGGAAAAAGATTTCAAGTTCTGATGAACACGAGAGGAGAGATGCGCGCGCGCGCGCGCGCGCACCGTGTGTTTTAAAGCGTCGCTCCACTTGTTCGGGTATTACGTTCCGGAATTATCGAAGATGAACCGAACGGGACCGGTTCAACAATATATAAGCGACGCTTGATCCCTCCGCCGTAGTTATAAACACGACAACTGTAACCGCCGCAGTTTGGACCGGCGGTTGGACAGATGCGCAGAGATTGCATAAACCGCATAATGGAGATTAAAGATAATGCGGGGAGATACGAATGAGTTGGTCAGCGGAGAGACCATCGACGTTTAACGCCATTTGCGACGGACCGTTTGCTCACGTTCTTATTTAGACCGTATCTTCCATCCGTTCGGATGACAGCGCGTAAAATAGCATCCGGTAACGTTGGGAAAAAGTTTCGTCTTATCTCCCCGATGCGTTTCCTTGGCATTGAATTACAAAAGAAGCAGAATTGTATAGCGAGCACTTACAGCATCAATTAAGTATCAAGTTAAACGTGACGCGAATGTTGGGATAAAGTTTTAGGGCAAGATGCGAGAGAGCGGTTTCGATTAAATTCAGGCATCGCGCGTATTCGCACGTCCCCAAACTGCTTGGGCGGTGAGAAGCGCATCCTCGCCCCTCTCGCCGCCTTTTCCCACTGCCGATCTCGAAGAAATGCCTATTCAAATTTTACGGCCCATATTTGTCGCAATTAAGTATTATGTTTTCGGGCTTATGGCCCAGAAATATTCCATATTGAGCGCGGGGCGAGCTTCCTCGCCCCGGTATAAACGAGAAATAAAGATAAATTCGAGGGGGTCTCTGCGTGGACGATGCGCGAATGAAGCGGGGAGATTGAGAGAGGGGGGCCAGTGGAGTCAGTTTATGGCACTTGCGGAGGTACAGCAGGCACTTTCACGATTCGTCTGACTCACGCCGAAGAAGCGACGGAGAGGGATGCGCGGGCGAGGACCTCTCTTTTACGAGGCTCTCCGGATGAGCCGGTGAATACGATTTGCGAACCGGAAGCGACCACTTCACTACTTACCGTTGCTTCGTCGTTGCTTTTTACGCCGCTGCCGCTCCCGCCCTGGCTGTGTCCGAGTAATCCGAAAATCCGCGTTCGCTCGTTTCTCGTTTCTCGTTAGTCACGCGTATCTGAAAATTAACGAAGATAACACAGTTAAGTTTTCGAACCATCTTCTCAAGTGGACGTCTTAATTTTTAGACGGCGCAGTGAAGTCACACGGTGCAGCAAGTCAAATCTAATTTCTAACCAAGTTATTCTCGCCTCAATATTCGCAGCAATTAAAGTGCTTAATATTTGTTTTATAATTATGAAAAAAATTTAATAAAATTGAGATTAAGAAAAAATAATCGCATATTCTAGACTCTTCGCAACTGTATTGTTAATTTTTTTTATTGCCTTATAGATTTTTTATTTTATTTTTTAATTTTTTTTATTACCTTATAGATTTTTTTTATATAAAAATTTCGAAAGCCAGATCTACGATAACCGGTCAGATTTATATCTCCGCCAGTTAATCATGTCATTTACATTCTGCTCCAAAGTTCTTTCGCCTTTGAGTCTTCATAAAGACTTCTAGCTCGCGAAGTTCACGCGAAACAATGCGGAGCTAACCCTATCCCTCGCGAAACCACGCGGTACCAACGATATGGAACGCGCCCGGCACGTGTCGTCGCGGTACGAGAGAAAAGAAGAAATAAAAGTTCCGGGGAGTGATGTCGCGTTGGCAGAAAAATTCCCGACGATTCTTTCCCTCCGAAAGAGGAGAGCCGGCGGGGAAGAAGGCCGGAGTGGCGCCTCGAAGATTTTCGCAAATTTCGGGCGCGCCGGGATGGAGAAAGGGGGTTGGCGAAGACGCGGGGGCAAAGCGAGATCCCGATAGAGAAACGAACAGGGAAAACGGAGAGATGCCAAGAGAGAAAGAGAGAGAGAGAAAGAGAGACAGAGAGGGACGAGAGAGGGACGAGAGAGGGACGAGAGAGGGCCACAAGGGGATGAGAGTACTGGCGGCGTTATGGCGGGCGCCGAGGGTGGCGCCGCGACGCTTTGGCGCCTCCGACGCCGAGACGCTCCGTTGATGCTGGCTGCATGTACCCACGCACACACATCCGCGTGCACCCTCTCGTTCCGACTTCAACCTCCCCCCCCCCGTCCACCTCCTCCTCCGGCGTTACCTATACCGGCACCTACACGTACGCGGCGCAATGAGAGTTCGAGATTCTATTTCGCACACGCGTGCACGTCGTCCCTGTCTCTCATCACCGTCGCTGCCCTAACCGCCGTGCGTACACGGACATTCTCTATACAGATAGGCGGATAGGCACGCGGGGGTGGATGTCGGTTGCGCGCACCAGAAGCGGAACTGGAATCCATTCTCGACTTCGGGGCTGCGGGACGGCGAGGTCACTCGTCTCCGGCGACGACGACAACTCGAGGGTGTGGCTTGTGTCAAGTGGGCCCTACCCCGGCTATTTGGGCCGTATTCTCTGATGAAATTTATCACGTCCCGAATAGGAGGACAAGATGGATCGGTGTTGACATCTTGAGCGGCGCTTTCAGCCGTTGCTTTTTTAATTAAAAAATCTGACGGCGAGAGAGCTCATGTGAGGATAAATCGACTTGTAACTTTATACTTGTTTAGAAACCCGTTAATGCGTGTATGACATCGATAAAAAATTATATCCCACCAAAGAGACGGCATGTGTATTAAGAAATCAATTTCGCAGAAAATTACACAATTTCTTCAACGATTAATTAACGACTTATCTCACTAATGAAGAAATTTTTTTTCAATATTCGCTTATTAAATTTCTATAAAATCTTCCATTTTAACAACACATTTTTTTCAAAGATACAACATATTTTTTTAAAACCACACAGTTTTTAGTTATTAATTGTTTTTAAAAACATATATAAAAAAATTTTTTTACATCAAAAATTACAATCTCGTATTTCTATCACAATTATTCCGATAAAGAATCTAAAAGCAAGCGGCTAGCTACTTGATTCGTTTTCCTATCGATTTCCTTCCCGTTTTCGATTTACGAAACTACAAAGTAGCCAATGACCTGTCGATAGCCGTGACACAGAGCTTACAATCGACTCTATAATTTTGCAGCGTGGAATCGTCGCAGCGATAATGCCGCTCGATTGCGGCCGCATGCCGGGATTAGGCGACGTTGATTATACATGAACGCGGAGGTGAGGCTCCCCTAAGAGATCGATGCCGCGCATTTGACGTAAATTGATTGTTAATTAACGAACCAGCCCGTCGTTTTTCTCGCCTGATATTATTAACTGCGCACCGGCATGCGACCTTTACTCGCCGCGCCGCTCCGAAATTCTCACACGCCGGCCCACGTAAATTGCGAGATGTGTTGTTCGAAATTAGTAACTGCGTCAATTATTGCAAACACAGAGAGCGCGCGATATGCAAACAAGTGGGCAACTGTATGCAGTTGTCGTCGTTTTAAATTATGATACGCGCTGCGAACACACGACGACAACGACGATGAAATGGATAGCGGATTACGTCGACGAGAACGAGATATAATAAGAAGGGTGCCAGGCAGAAATTGAGTTGCGGCTTGTTACGAATTTATGGCACCGCTCTTAATCTCGTCCGCCGGGAGAACTTCTTGAATGTACTTTCTTAATTACGCATATCTCGCTATTAATGCGTTAACTCTGGCATAACGCAAATTGTTTCGCGACAATGAAACTCAATGTCGGTTCAGTCCTCAAGCAAAATTCGATATTGGTGGAATACTAAGCTTTAATACATTTGATGTTTTATGGAAGCTTGCTTTATCATTCATACGATACTTTCATGTTCAAATTAACACAGCCACTTCGGCTAAAATAAATATTCCTTTTTTCACGTAATTAATGATACCGTGTTTTTATCAAAATCCCGTTATACGAGGCAAAATACACAATATTACTGTGTTAATATGGCCTGCGCAAAGTTCGTGAAAGTCGGATAAAAAATGCGAATATAAGATCAAGTAAACAGTATTAAACAAACTAAAAAATAAAAAACGATAATGAACAATGTTCAAATTAAAAATATAGGACAAATTAAGAGGAAGACAAGCGTCCTTTGGCTCATTACCTAACAAATGCGTAATATACTGTCGCGAATAATGCGCAATAAAATATCTCGATCATCGTAAAAATGGTACAGGAGACAACTAATAAAGTGTGCACTGTGCCAGTCATAACGTATAATCCTGTAATGGGGTTGTTGCACACGTAGGTTATGCGAGGATCATAACGGTCATAAATCCAATGAATCGTCCTGTCCCGCCGCGCCTCGCGCATCGATTCGTAAAAGATCCTCGTTTGCTGTAATGATTTGGCACGTTCGCGACGAGAGAGGCTGTCGCGAAAAACGTAACGTGGCCTGAATTACAACGCGATGCAAAATCTCATAATCGATGAATTATATTTTAGAATTATATTCTATTTTATCTGCAGAATTATAAACGACACATCTCTTAATTGTCTCGCGCCTTCTTTCAAATTAAAATTAATCAATGGATTGTGAATTTCAAAAATATATCTCACTTCAAATAATAGCATATTTGCAAAAATTCTCGCGCGAGTAGGCCGCAAAGTATCGCGCCGGAGTGCTCGAGGTATCGAATTATTCCCGTAACGACGGTCTCCGTAATATCATCTGGGAACACGTTGACACGCGTAAAAGGGCAGAATGACTGCGTCGGCATACAGTGCGGCCGCTACAATATTCCCCGGCAATCTCAGCGCCGCGGTAAAATCTTCTAATAAGTTCGGTAAATAATGGAATCATTGTTATTTTTATGTTTCGCGCGTGCGCGTCCATTCGAGCCGATGACACAGGATGGAAGGTGTCTCGGGGCAGAATGTAAGGATAATCCATTAGACGCGTTGTAACCCAAAACCGCGCAAACAAGGGTGGTCTTGGATTAAATGTGACGGATGGACGTGGGGGGATGGGGCGGCTCTGGCTCAGCTCACTGAGCAATCCGCCGGGAAAAAACGGGGATAAGACGTATCGAAGGACAGGTGCACAATAACGATACTAAACGCGTATGTAACGTTGGTTGAATTTACGACGGCGCGAAACACTGAGAAACTCTCGACCGTTCTGAGGTAGAAACTGAATTGGCACCGGCAAAACTGCCGATAAGCCGTTCGGAAAGCCCTGAAGTCGTTTCGTAAATTTATAACTATTTCTCGTACGTGCCAAAAATTTCCAACATTATTAATAAGACCAACTATAGTCTTGTTTGAATTCTGCGAGTGTTAATTTATTTTCAAAATTCTATTTTTACGAAGAAAACTTTTTTTTTTTTAATTTTCTCGACACAATAATAATAATAGAGTTTGAATGTTTCAACGGATTGTTCCAGAATCGATATCCGCGTCTCTATTAATGCATAATCCGTTCAAGCATGGCAAACTCCAAACACATTCGCTACTATTGTAATACTGCCTTCTATGTGCATATAATGTCGCTCAGTGAATTTTAGGCCGCTTTAATCTTAATGCACCGAAAGCGATGAAACGCCTTCGAACAATCAACATCTTTAATATCCGCGTCTTCATTGATAATCCGTTTGACAATGACGCGTCTGCCGTTATACGCTATTTCAGAAATTCAATAACATCGTCAAGTAGCTGCCAGCAGCGTACGTGCTGAAGGAGTGCAACCCTAACGTGGGACAAATAGCAGATACTTTTTCTATAGAGAATCCACTTGGAGGCAGTTGATGCCAGCTTTGTTTTCCATCAATGCGTGCTACATCTGGATTCAAACAGGATGAGGAAAATCGATGAAGAGATTAGCGCAAATATAAGCGAAAATTTTGGCATTTTAATACAAAATGCACTCTATTAACATCACCTTTCTAATTATTCAGACACTGTTTCAATAATCAACTAAACAAAATTACTGATTTTAACAATATTTCTTTAAACTTTTATAAAGAAAAAAAAATTTTATCTCGACTTGAATTTAAAACTAAAATTTGCGAAAAATCTCCTTTCAAATTATTAAAATGCGACAATTAAGTATTATTGATTCTATATTTTGAAAATAAGCGAAGAATAGAAAGATTTCGTCTTGATTTCATCCTAAAGGCTTTAATTACGCAAGAAATTCTTCTTTCAAATAATTTATAACTCAAAAACTATTACTGTCTCCACAGTTGGACTCGTTCAATTAAATCAACACTAATTATTCTGAATATTATCATATTAAAAATATGATGTGCATACGTGCGTGGCCTTCAAACTGTTATCAACGTACACTTTGTAGCGCAGCATCCGCGGGGTGCATGCATAATCTCTCTGCGGCGGTGACGCCACGATTATGCGTCATCGTCACTAGCGCGTGTATAAGTCGGTCGTCTTCTTCGCGCTCCATTACAATCTTCGAGGAAACACGGCACCCACCAACACGCGCGCGGATGTGTGCACGTGTATTCATACACGGAGGTCGTGGTACTAATTTTGAATCGTCCAGCACCGACTATACGCCGTACACACGCATCGGACGTACGCGCCTCGGCTATTTATACACGGCTCATATACCGGAACTAGACTTTCCGTTTTTACCGGGCTTTGTCGTAAATGGAAACACGTAATCCGAGTCATCGCCGGGAACAAACGACAGATCTCGTCATACTTTTTTTTTCATATCTTCGCTCACTCGACACTTACTTAGCGCAAACGGGTGGAAAACTGCCATCACTATTTTCATAAAACAAAGAAGAATGACTTTATCATCACAGATGATTATTTGGCACAAATTATGTGTGATGCATATAGATACAAGGTGCGCCAAGATCTCAGACCGCAATTCTCATGGTGGACTCTTTGAACAATTTGGAGTCGAATTGTTCTAACTCAAAATGTGGAGATAATTATAGATTTCATATTGTACGCAAATGCTCAATATAAGAAAATTTTCGACAACAAATTATCCTACTCCGATCCACGAATCGTATTTATCGCAAAAATAAACTATTAATAAAGACATTTGGCCTATGTTAATATTTCTAAACTAAACGAGCAATCACTGACAACAATTTCTCCGAAAAGACAGAGTTTTCCTCTTAAAATATTATAAATAATTTCAAAAAAATTTTGCGCACAATTTAAGATTTCAAGATTAAATCAATACAAAATCTTTCTATAAAAACAGATTTAGATTAGATATTTTTATCAATCGTTGCTTTTGATAACTATATAGAAATAATCAATTGCACATTACGAAGAATTAATTTCCATGCACCGTCAATATAACTTCAATTTCATGAAAAAACAGCAGTTTATAAAGGATAATCTTTTGCGCAAAATTTATGTGACGTAAAGTTTCATAGTTTTGCATCAGTTGATGAGAAAACTTGCCGCTTGCGCGTATTAGCATATTTCAATGGATCATATAATTTTGTACGTCTATTATTTCTAGCCAAACGACACGTGTACGTTCATATTATGCTAGTTAATGACCTATACCGAAATGTAACGTATCTACGCGCGTTTCACAACTGCGTACTCCGATTTGTATGTGGAGCATCGTTCATAATTAACACGTTCCGCACCGCGTGTACTACTAATGGCCCGTGCTAAACTTTCAGTTCAGGCTTGGTATTTTCTCTATTAATTATTACTAATATAATTTATTATTGAAAACAATAAATTATTAACTATTAACGGAACACAAATTAATTACAATTACGCCGACGACCTGTGCAACAGAGCGATTTCTTTTCTTTTTCTTCTATAAGATAGACAAATAAATATAAATAAATATAATCATCTATAATAAATTCGACAAAATAGGTCATCGGTGACCGATGCGGCATGAATAAAAAATTAGCGCGGCACAGAAGGTGTTGAAATTCTCCTAATTAGCTCAGCTAAAAAAAAAAGAGCAACATTTATCTTCGTTATGCCAATCAGAATTTCACGAAATATGTATTACTCGTTTACTCGTTTATACTCGTTATAATATTTCTAATATTACTCGTTTAAATTTTTTATATTATATAAAGTTAATTGAAATTAAATTCATCTTGCCTTCTATTTGTTTACTTTCAAGATACACAAATGTGTTCAATTTAATATTTTGATATTATTTTTTATATATGCAGATGTAAGGTTTTTACATATTCATTCAAAATAATAGCTATTCTCAATTTTAGATTGATTCGCGTTCTAATTGCAAGAATTATAATTTTGATTAGCCTCTCGGAGTCATTAAGACGCGAAAACGTGTGTCATATCGATGGGTGCAGTGTTTGGATAATTGGGCGTTCGAATATCACGCGTGATGAATCTATAAATTGGGGTTTATGACTGCTATCATTCTGATTAGCTCCCAATTACATCGCATCGGAGAACAGAAAGCACAATGCAAATAATTATTCATTGACTGCCTATTAATAAAAAAAATCCCCTCTCCTTAAAAAAACCCTATTATGATTTGATTATTAACGTTAATAAAGTGACCTCTTGTTTTGGAAAATCGATTAATATCATAAATTATTCATTAATCATGTCGATTATTTTATATGTATACTATGTATACTCCATTCTATAAATACAAATATAAATCTAATTAAGCAGCAAATTAGGTTTTAAATAGCAAATTAGCTTGAAATAGCAAATCAAATATTATAACGATCACGTTATTGTTACAACGAGAATTGTATAACTATTAGCGTTATCAAGAGATAATTGAAACAGGAAAATTAATGAGAAAGATAAGAAGTCGCTTTCACAAACGCATTAAAAATGTAGATTGATAAACTGACTTTTTCACGGTCATGATAAGAATATAACAAAAATCACGTATGTAAAGTGTTCGATTCATAGAAAAGTTCTTCAATATTCCACAAGACATTAAGAAAATATACAAAGATATATGTAAAATAAGATTCACGCTAATTGTTGAATTAATAAAATGATTTTGTTCCTGGAAATTGGTAATTAATACTACCAATCATTCGATGAACGAATTCCTCGTATCATTCCTGTTATTTATTTTACACTATATACATTTTATAAATGTAAATAGAAATCTAATTAAACAGCAAGTTAAGCTTTAATATATAAAGATACCAAATCAAAATATCAAACAGTCAAATATTTAACGATTTAAAAATTAATTTTAATCAAAGAATAATTGCTTTTATCTTGTAAAACTTTCCAACATCAAAACAGCGGATTTGTTTGGAAATTAGACAGCAAAGAATCTAGTGAGAGATTATTGATTCCTAAAAAACCATATTATTCATCACTTTAATCTCGAAAGTGGGACATTGATAAGTTAACGAATTTTACCTCGAGTGATTGATAAAATCGACGAATCGAAAATAACTGCTGAAAGAATGCGAAAAGTCAACAGAATTTGTGTCAACAGAACTGAAACACAATCGGGGCTCTGTAGCTTCAATGTCACGCCGCGTACGTAGGCAGAACAGAAAAAACAATCTCGACGAGAGAGATCTGGCATTGCGCGACGACATCCCGCCTCCAGCAGCAGCAGCAGCAGCAGCAGCGTTAGCACAGCATCTGCGGGACGACGTCGAGGTTTCCCTATTTAACCTCTCGCACAGCCTGCCTATTGATTTTCCAGGGGGCCTATTGTTTTGGCACGTCGCGCATTTAACGAAACGAAAACCGCCGGGAGCGCGGGGTATCAATAAGAAGGCGGCCTCGCCACGCATGTATCTACGAACGCACACATGCACAAACACTCGCCCGCATGCACGTACACATACCATCGTACATACGCGAATCGCCGTCATCGCCGCGAATTGTTAAAACCGCGGGCGACCTGTCAATCGCCCGTGTTCGTGAATCATCTCTATTTTGAGAGACACCCGTTGTGTGGACGGCCCTACCAGCGCCGACGGCACCGACGTACAACTTTTTGAGGTTAGCTTTATTCAGGACGCGAAACTGACGACGGAACGTCAAGACGCGCGCTGCACGGAGATCACATGATGAAGACGTCAACGGCGGCGAGATTAATAAACGCGGCGGCGACGTCGTTCGTTAATATGTGAGAACAATCGAGAGGCGGAGAGCAGCACGCCCATCCGTCGTCGAAAATCCGCGACGGAAAAATCAATATTAGGCGGCCGCGTGGCCGCGCGCTTTAATCGCTCGCCGGCCGAATTCGGCGTTACGCCGCTACTCACCGCGACGAATATCCATAGATGCGCGCCGGAGCCCGTCTCCCGTCGCACGGAATCAATTTATCACTTCGGGGACACACAGGCACTACGTCCAACAACACTCTTGCGACTCCGCCGTTCCCGGTTCCGCCGTTCCCGTCGTCCAGCGGCCGCGGCGGCGGCGGCAGCGGCGGCGACGATGATGACGGCGATGGCAGGGCTGGCCGAGGCGTGGGAACGCGGTGGCGCGTTGTGGCGCCACTCGCTCGTCGCTGTTGAAAAAATTCGATAAAATTAGATTTAAAAAATCCATATTGAATAAATTAAATTAAATGAGAAAGAAAACGAAGTACGTGAATAAATTTAACTCGAATAATAGTGCGTTTTTCGGGTAAAAGAACATTTAAGTAAATATTTATTTCAAATACCGGAAATCTAACATTCATATTTTGATTTGTATTTCGTTTTTTAGAGCTTTGCATGTTTCGAATATTTTGAAAAAATTCTATTGCGTAACATTGTCTATCTGTACCGATCTCCGCGGATTACGGTTTTTCAGTGTTTTGCGTATATTTTCAAATATTTCGAGCTGATTTTATTTTTAATTTCAGAATGTTTTTTTCCGCTGATTGAAAGGAATAAGCCGTCGGCGTTTCTATTCCGTGCGAAGAGATAAAATTGGCTGTAGAATGGGTGATTTTTTAATTCTCTTCTAAATAATATTTGAATGCAAAAGTATACAATATCAGAGTACGTTTTGAGCCAACCGTGTTTAAAAATCTGATTAACTTAAACCGAATCAAACGACTAGTGGCGTCGAGTGCAGTGTACACATCCCTACGCCGATGCAAATAACCGATCTAAACAAACGCGCGACTCTCCAAAAATACCATCTCTAAAATCTATAATTCATGGAAAGCCGGACTGTTCTAAATATAAAGCACTCAAGTGAATCCGACCGCAAGTCCATATGACGTTAAACAATCACACCATCATCATCGTCCTTCCGCAAAAAATACCGATTACGCCAGCGCGCCTTTTGCCTTCGAGCGGTTCGTCACCTTGCAGTCTATTTTGCGGAATTCTTTTTTTCAACGCATTTTTTTCATTCGAGCATAATTTATTCTTTCTCTATCTCTTTCCTAATAAATAAAACACTGCTCATACAAGTGCAATGTTCTACGTTATTAACATGGGTGTAATATTCGCGATAAAAACGCCGTCGTAAAGATATGATCAGTTCTGTAGGTGCATTTTATCTGGACGCGCGCCGCACGTGCGGGGAGTTAAAAACGTCAAACTTCCTCCGGCGAGTCTGGAGCAAGAGAGCGAGACCGCACCAAATTTGGTCGTGCCAGTCTCCTTCCAGAGAGCTGTAGGCTTTCGTAGTACGCGCTACGTAATCGTGTAATACGTATTACTACACGCGCTTTCGCTCTTATCGCGGCATAATGTTGCGCATGATAGCGGTTTTTCTTATTCCGGTTGCCGGAAAGTACTGCATGTATCGATGTGCTTTGTGGTTTTCTGTAGTTTACAGTATTGATCGCGAAGTAACGACGAAAATAAATTCTTCGGATAGTTTACGCCGGAGCTGGAATTCAACTGCAACTTTCGGCCGATTTTCGAGTCGATCGCCCACTGGTTTACGCGCTGTAAAAAAAAATTCAACGAAGAGTGTTTCCGAAAACAGTTTGATAAATGTTCAGCTTAACGTTTCGTGGATGTGTCAATGTATTTATGAATTTTAATTCGCCCATTGTTCTAGATCCATTGTTTGAAAAATCAAAAACTCGGGAATTGAGACTCCTGGATTTGGCATAACGTGAATTGTCATTTTTCTAACTGTAAAATCAATCTGCGATTGAGAAAAAGAAATTATATAATAATTAAAAACGTTACATTACTAGATCAAAATATTGTTACGCAAAGAAATGACAAATTCTGACCCGCTATCATTGCAAATTTATCTCAAGGAAGCGCATTTCCTTCTCGTTTCGCGGAAAAGGACGACCTTCAACAATGATCTTATCATCTCAGTATTTATACTTATCATGAGTTTACGAATATCAATAATAAGAATAATAATTTCAATCAATTCTAAGTAGGTAAATAAAAAATAGAAAAACTGCCTTACAGAATATAAGACAAAAAATTCACTAAAATTAAAAATCTTAGTCTCCATTAAAAAATTAACCTTTTTAATAATTTTAATAAATTTTTTAATTAACAGAGAAGAGCTTTCATTATGATAATTAAAATAAATAAAATAAATACAGAGAAACAATTCTCAACGCGTTTAAATCAACTTTTTATTTTGAAAACAAGTATTTTCTGAGTTTATTCTCGTTTTCTATTCTCTTATTTTAGTTAATGATTCTCTTTTTTATGAAATATTTTGTTTTTCATAAGGATTGGATTATATTGAACGTTTCAAGAAACGGAACGTAGTTTCAACTGACACACATCGATATAAAGACGCAAGGTCTTCGCAAATGGACGGCAATGATGCGGCGATGCTACGTCATATCATTGTCACTGTCGGAAGAGTTGGAAGCTAAAAAAGGAGAAAAGAATGCAACGATGACTTACGTTACTCGACTGCCCACGTTAACGTAATTCGCTCGTTCGCGCATTCCGAGCGTGCTTGTCGCGTCGGCGTCAAACAAGGCTGACTTTCCAGATGTCGTTTCCCTCTCGCGTAGGCGCCCGCGTTCGAGTCCTGTGCACCTGATGACAGTGTACAACTTATAAATGCCTTCGCATTCGTTATATAATTTTTTATAAAGATATTTTTGGAAAGAGCGTTTTGCGCCTTGTACACGTTATATTCTTTATGTAACATCAAAGTGAAAATACAATAAAATGATCCTTTATGCCTTGCATCCAATAAATAGAAGAAAATCAATTCGCTCTTTTGAAAATCAGTTTCTGGGTCAACAGTTATAAAATAAGCAAATAATCATAATCAGAATAAAAACTTCCTTGCTAAAATAGGACAAGGAAGCATTCGCGTAAAACGATGCGTGACACAGATATCTATATACGAGATGCACAATAAATTTACCTTTATCGTCGCCGAGATCTCGGTGCCAAGAGGACTACAACGGCGGGGATGAAGCTGGACAATTGCCAACATCGCGTTTTGTATTCTAATTTTCATCCGTTTACGGGTTTTACCGTATGATGCGAAGACTTCCCGACGTCGCGTCGCAGCTACGTCCTACTACTTTGCCGACCAACTTCCAGCAGTGATTTCCACGTGGTGCTATCTACACGTTGATCCAAGAAGTAGTCTTGATGTTGGTTAAAAATTTTTCAAGATTTTTCCTTTCCTAAAAATAATGAAGAATAATATCATTTTTACAGGATCTGACAATGCGAATATCTATAAAATTAGCTTCTAACTTTAACATTAGTCTAATAAGCTGAAAACTTTACGATCTTCTCAATTGCTTTCCTCAAAAATACATATAATGTCCATTAATAATAGCAACAGCACAATAATAAGACATGCTTAAAAATCGAGATAAGAAAAGCTATTAGTTAATGATTAATAGATGATTTTGTAAGCAGAAACGAAACTGCAGTTCTTGGACTTTTTGCACAAATGCACTTTGCGTGATGCGCGCTAATGCTTGATAATCATGGTATAAAAGCTTGTATTTTTATTTAATCAGTTTTATTTAATCTGAGAACCGTCGTAGGTCGAGTCGGGGTTTTCCTACGTGAGCTTATTACTTCGCGATATAAAGATTTCAAACATATTTTGCTTAAACATGAATTCCTTGAAGTAATTTAAATTGATTTAATCATAAATGAGACAAACATCTCGTTAGATTGTATCAAAATATTTTTCTGTTATTTTTTTACCTCGTTATTCACAGTTTCTCTTTTTAATTACGCATGAAAGACTGCTCAATTAATTGTTACAAGTAAACATTTATCAATCATAATCATTACTTATTCACTTTCTTGTTTAACTTGCATATCATATTTAGTGTAAGTTATTTTGCAAGTTGTATAATTCTGTAATTTTTACAAGAAATTAATCGAATTAATTCCTTTCTCGTCCTCATGATTTTTTTATTCAAAATAATTTCAGAAATCTGCTTCTAAAATAATCTCAGCGAAGCTCCCATGTAAGCTGTTTACTTTTGCTGCTAATTTTTTTCGCGTTTTATTGCAAGTTCTTGTCTATTAAGACATGCAATCTGCGATAACTCATCCCCGTGAGATGGAAATAACTTTTCAAAAAGAGACAGCATCAAATCTACTCGGTGGGCGATAAAATTTCTCGAAGAGACAATGGGAAAAGTTTTTCTATGCTGCTTCGTACAAGTTATACCACGGCGATAGCACGCAATACGAATGGCGAATAGGGTACGAGGGGCGATAGACTCATCTAGAAAGAAAGATCGAGATCGTCGAGACTATCTGCTTTCATATTTATTGCCGGTTCTGCGCGGACCAGTGTCTCTCAGTTTACTCCAGCAATTTCGCGCAAGGACTATTCTACTGAAATTACAATTGAATAATGAAAAAAAAGACTTATAATAAATAAATTTGAAACGTATCATGTTGAAAAAAAGTTTAAAAATTTCCTAAACTTTTCTGGCTCCGACAAGATTTATTATTTCCGTTGTAAGAAAGAAATTTATCTTGTCCTGCGGGAAAATTCATCTTCCTACTAATAACCTTCGGACACGATAATCGATAGCAGAGGAATAATGAGAATCGTATCGCGAAGAAATAAAATTCGACGACCTTCCCGCGTCGGGGGGAGTTACGTCTCCACTATTAAGACGATAGCATTGCCTCGGCGAAGGGGGCCACGGGGGCGGGAAGAGAGGAGGTATCACGGAACGAGGAGGAGACGAGATTTTATGGGGGAGTAGCTGGAGAGATTCCCGGGTGCTGCGGCGGTAGCCATAAAAAACTAGGCGCCCGCGGGACCGGGATGCGACGGGATAGGATGTGTTTTGCCAAAAGCTGGGAAGCGTCGCGACGGCGCCAGGATGTCTGGAGCCAATGTCCCGGGTCTTTCTCTTTCTCTCTCCCGTCCCTATCTCCCTCTCTCCCCGGTTCCTGTCAATTCCGAACAACTTCCCATCCTCGCCGGGAAGCTCGCCCCGAAAACCGGTCCGCCATGAGCGTTCCTGGCGACCGCGCCAACGCCAACATTTCGCCATCCTTGTGT